CTTCATGTGTGTCTGATACTGGCTCAAGCTGAGACCTTTGTCCATGGCAGAGCCTTGTAGTCCTGAGGCAAGCAAGCATGGGCTCCATTAGCTCTCTAAATGACCCGAAGGCAGGATTTTACCCCATCTAACCTTAACTGCTCTGCTTACCCTTTCTCTCCGCTTCTATAACTGTCTACTTCATGTGCTATAGCATGTTTCTTTTCTAATTTCCATTCAAGAAGCTTTCACAAACTGAAGTTTTTGTCTGCTAAGAGGAAAGGTGAGCCAGACCCTAAGCCCAAAGGTACTGCCACAAGTTTTGTCACCACACAGCCAGCACTAGGATCCACCAGAGGAGAAGCCAGTAGACCCCGCTGCCACCACCTTTCCCTGTACGCAGAATGTTCTAGAATCTTCCTGAAGTGATCCACCTAAGGAGAACAGGACTCACTCACTAATCACCACCCTGCAAACAGTCCACAAACAGCATAAAAATCTTTCCTTTTCCATCTCCAGAACCTGTATATCCTGGGCAAAAGAGAAGATTTACATTAAATAGAAAGGGAATTAATATCTGTTCTATGATTTCTGAATAAGCTTTTACTCAGGCAGAAATTCAAATAGTTGTGGCCACTACATGCAGTGTATAGTTAGGGATGGTCAGGGGTGTCCTAGAAATTTCACAAGGGGGTGACAGAGAAAGAGAGAGACTCAGAGAGATACACAGAGACAGAGAGACAGAGAGAGACATCTGGGTGGAAATCTCCAGGCATTATGGGGTCCTCAGGAGACTCCTATGGTGGGGTCTCAGGGTTGGACAATAGGAGTGTGAGTCAGTGTCACCTGCCTGTTCTGAGGAGGATGCAGCACCACATCAGGTTGATGTGCTACGCCCACTGCCCTCAGGAAGCTTGCCTCTGGTTGAAGAGGGAGATGGAAGAATCACGGAGATAAGTAAGGCACATTCAGGACATACGCTATTGGTCGGGTCTTAAATGTCCCCCGAACACCCCTTAGTTCCTGGCCATGGCCCTATTGAGAAGGTGTGGAAACTAAGAGACAGGGCCTAGTGAGAGGTCTTCCCCTCGCTGGGGGCATTAGAAATAAGCCATGAGGCCTCAGTCCCTCCCTTTATTTCTCCTTCAAGTCCCAGCCTTGAAATGAAGGGCTTTGCTCCTTCATGATACTGCCATGGTCCTGTGAGGCCAACTAATCACAGTGTGGGACCTCCAAAGTGGTGAGCCGAGGGCCAGGGAGATAGCTCAGTGGAATAAGGGCTTGCCTCACAAGCACAAGGTCCTGGGATGGATCCCTGGAACAAAAATAAATAAATAAATAATTTAAAATGGCAAGCCAAGATAAATCTTTTCTCTTATAAGTTGATTTATCTTGGTATCTGTTATAGTAGTGAAAAGCTGACTAATACAGAATGATCATTGCTGTGCAGAAAGTGAAGTGTTGGGCTGTGTGTGCCATGGTAGTTGTAAGGAATAGCAGTTTGAGGAGTGGGGTTCAGGGCTGGGCAGCAGAGGAGGTAACACCAGGAAAGCATAGAGGCCCAAGCCAAGTTTTGCAGGACAGCACCAGCTGTAGGAACAGAAGAAGATGGGCTGGGTGGGAAGGGGTACCGAGGAGGCTGAGAGATGCTGGGACCAGGGTTTGTGAACCAGAGTTTGTGTCCTTCCTGGGGGCAGGGTGCAGAATGCCAGATGTGAAAGTCCTTGGCCAAGAGAGGACTTCGAGCAAAGGCCTGAAGCTCACTCCATTCTCTCTTTGGATCAGGGATCAGTTCAAGTGGCATGAGGTCCTATGCCTTGGGGGCACACTAAGATAGTGGAGCAGGGAGGTGGGCTAGGAGATCACGTGGCCCTGGGGCAGGCAGCAAGTGGCTTCTTGGACGTGGAGCTGGCAGGCTTGCTGATGTTTGGGGGTTTGGAGGGTGAGGGAAGATGGAGCTCAGAACAGTGGCTCCCGCAAGGTACCACCCAAAGGAATGGAAGACCATGGAGGTGGGCAGGCCTGAGGAGCTCTGCCTGTGCAGGTTATGTGTAAGAATCCTGGTATAAGAGGCTGCTGTTTCTCAGGGTCCTGGCAGAAGGCAGGCGGCTCCCCATGAGTGTCTGGTAAAAGTTCACACTGGTACTACCTATGGGAGGCAGGATGCCATGCACACCTCATGAATGGGGCTGGGGAGCAGCAGTACTGGGAGCAAGGCAGCATGGGAAGCTGACATCAACCCAGTCTTGAGAGAGGGCTACCCCCTCCTCTTCTCAGAGGCTGGGCATAGACGGCCCTCTTGGGCCTGGCAGTGAGTGCGAGGGGCAGCTATACTCCTTCTGGGTGTTGCTGGCCCAGCTACTGGCTGAGCCTAAGAGGACCAGAGAGTGAAGGGCAGCCTCCAGGAATGAAGCTGGCCTGGGATCTGACTTCAAGGACCATGGGGCATGGTCCCATCACCAGGTCGACTGGCCGTTGGTGATCCAAAGAGGGGCTCAACCAGAGGTGACTTAGGGATCAGCAGCGTAGGTAGACCTGGAACCTCAGAACAGGCAAAAGGGAAAAGGCCAAGGTTCCTTCCAAAACTAAGAGACGTGGAAGCCGGAGCAAGCAGCCCTTGAGGTGGGAGCATTCAGGCAAGGCTGTACCTGTGAGTCTCATGAGCGAGGTCAATGCCATGTTCCAGTGTTTCCCAGAGATAGGTGACAACTGTGGACCTGACCCCGTGGAGCTGAGTGAGCTTCCCTACCCCGCAGCATGGGGACCTCGGAGGGGTGAGGCAGGGAGAGCAGACTCTCTGCGGGGTGCTCTTGTGACTCTAGCCACAGAGCTACGGAGCTGGGTGTCAGCCTTTCTTTCATCCAGAGCACCTGAGGTCTGCAGATTAGAGGCTGTAACACTGCTTAGCCAGGGGTTTAAGCATCTGAATGAAAGGAAACCTCCAGGCCACAGCCTTAGTGTTCCCCAGACCTAGAGATTAGGCATCATCCAGAGAGACGGCGTGGCTGCTACGATGTTGCCCCATTTGCCAAGAGCATCACAGAAGTACAAAGTGCATCATGCCCACTTTTGGGTGAGGCAGCAGGGGTTGGTGGGCGTAGGCTGAACTGTCTTGAAGATCCCCGCACACGTGCTTACCCCGTCAGCGACCTCACACTGCTTCTCATAGGACTGGGTCTGTGTAAAAGCCCCCTCGGGCCTCCTGGGGCTCCTCCTGGCTGTTCCTAGACAGCCCAGAGCAGACTTCCACAAGCTGAGCATATCCACGACCTGGCGGTCCTGTTGCAGTGTCCAGCTTTGCAGAGTGCAGCCTACGAGCACCTCCACACTCTCGACCACATAGGTTTGATTTGGGATTTAATTGACATTTTAAGGCACATTCCAGAATGGATGCTTGCTCCTAGGTTTGCAAACAACGCGTCCTCCACATTCGTTGGAATGCGCGCAGATCCAGGCACTCGGGGCTCTGGTGACTGCTGACTCTGTTGTTTTCCAGGTCAGCAGAGTGGAGCGGGAGAAGAGCCAGGAGCTGAGGCAGGCGCGCGAACACGAGCAGCGCAAGCACGCGGTCCTGGTCACAGAGCTCAAGACCAAGCTGCACGAGGAGAAAATGAAGGAGCTGCAGGCTGTGCGCGAGGCGCTGCTGCGGCAGCACGAGGCTGAGCTCCTGAGGGTCATCAAGATCAAGGATAACGAGAACCAGCGGCTGCAGGCGCTGCTCAACACCATGCGCGACGGCGCGCCCGACAAGGTCAAGACGGTGCTCCTGTGTGAGGCCAAGGAGGAGGCCAAGAAGGGATTCGAGGTGGAGAAAGTCAAAATGCAGCAAGAGATCACCGAGCTCAAGGGGGCCAAGAAGCAGGTAGAGGAGGCGCTGACGATGGTGATCCAGGCAGACAAGATCAAGGCTGCGGAAATCCGGAGCGTGTACCACTTGCACCAGGAGGAGATCAGCCGCATCAAGAAGGAGTGTGAGCGGGAGATCCGCAGGCTGGTACGTGGCACGCAGCTGGGTGGGCAGTGCATGTGGCTCCGGTCACCAGTCGGCCCCTCGCACCCTCCTTGTAGGGTCTGAGTAGGTCAGAGACCTGAGACTATTAAGAACGTGGGAGATCTTGGCCTCGCAGGGCAGGCAGAACCTCCCACCTGCCCCTCCACCGGTACCAGCGGTGCTGTCTACTTCCCCCTCAGGTAAAACAAGAAATTGAAGGCTCCTCAGTTCAAACAGAGGGGCTAGGAAAGGCTTCCCCCTCTCAGTGTGAGGTCAGACTTCACACTGAACAGGGCTTAGTATGTGAGCGGTGGGAATCCCATCTCAGCTAGTGAGTTCTCAGAGTCGTTGGAAGCTTTGGATCCAGAGAGCCAGGGCTAAGAGGACAAGACCCTGAGACTGCCCTGATGTTTCCCAGATGTTGTGGGAGCCGATTACGCCAACTCCTCCCCCCTTGGAGTGTGCATTTGCTTAGTAATGTGCCCAAAGTGGAGCTTCACCTTGGTGACATGTGTCCTTCATCCTCACCCTGTTCTTCATCGGGACTCAGAGCCGCTAGGCACTGAGGCACCTCCAAAAGAATACAGCAATCCTCCCAGCTGGGGCACTTAGGGCAGGACATTCCTGTGTTCCCCCTTCCCAGGAGGGCTGCAGTAGTCTTCTGCCATGGCCAGAAAGGAGAGACTGGGAGTCGAGAAATAAACAACCCTTAGCCATAGTGGATGCATGGGGCCCCCACCTACTGATGGGAGGGGCCTTCTGTCCCTTTCCAGGGTGTTCCTGCCCCTCAGGACTTATCAACCACTCCTGAGCCACATACTGGCTTTGCCCTTAACAGCCCCAGGAGCTCTCCCAAGATCCTGCGTGGAAGAATTAGGGGAACTCCCCATGGGACATTGCTCAGCTTGTCTGTCCTTCCTAGGAAGGACACTCACTGTCTAATTCCATACAATACTTTTATTTGTGTTAGATTTAGTGTTTTAAACATAGGAAGCTGGCCTTCTTAATCACAAGCTCTCCACCTGAGCTTTTTTCCAGCAAGCTACCCATGTCCCAACACCTTGTCATTGCCTGAAGACCCCTGTCCTGTTTTCAAGGTCACGCCCTCCCATGTCCTTCCCAGTGCTGAATTGTTTTGCCAGAGCATGTTCTCTAGCAACTTCCGGGAAAGCAGAGAGGATTGTAACCCATTGAAATTTATAAGAACTTATATATATGAACTGTCCTTATTGTAATCTGGCATTTGATATTTTAACAGAGTGTGGAATTTTAAGTAGGAAAACATTTTCTATGAGGAATTTGAAAACATTTCTGCCTTGTCTTCTAACTTGCTAGAGACACTAGTGAAGTTGGTTAGTTAGCATTCTCCTTTGGATCTTTTGTGTGCCCCATTTCCCTGCCCACACCCCCAGAAATTGCAGGGTCCTCTCCTTAGACCCAGAGAAACTCTGTAATTTCTTGGCACTGTGTCCATGACAGAAGTGCCTCATCCTCATGGTATTGCCAATTGGAACCCATGTGGCCTCTCTCCTGGGGTGACTTTGCTTATCATATGCAGCTTGACTCAGCAGACATGCCACATTCCTGACATCTTCAACTTTCTGGGGTCTCTATTGCACTTTTGGCATCATCATCATAGCTTCATTCACAGTCCTCTCAGAGCCACACTGCCTGGCCTTCAAGGCCTTCTTCTGATGCTGAATGGAAGCATTTATGGCCCTACAACTTTTGGATTAGAAAGGCCTATAAGACAAGTACCACATGGATAATGTCAAGGTTAGCTGGCTGGATCAGTGGCCAGGCCCTCTTGGACCATGGCTGCAGAGGTCTCTAAGTGCTTGGATGGTTGAACACTATGGAATGAATCTTAGGGAACCAATTCCCTAAGTGGCCCTTTTTAAACAAGTTCAGAGGCGCTTTTCTCAAATGAAAGTGTCTTAGTTACTTTTCTCATTGCTGAGACAAAATACCCAACACCCAAAGTTAAAGGAGGAAAGGTTTGTTTAGCTCTCAGTTTGTAGGAGTTACCCTTAATCCCAGCAGTAAGTCAGGACTCAGTAACACACTCTAGATTCAGCCACCTCCAAAAAACCCCTTATGACATGAGGCTTTGGGGGGACATCTAGATGAAAACCATAACAGAAAGCTTTATGGTTTTGCACAGTTGAGCATGTCAAGGGCGGAGGGTCTTGCTGGTTCCTGAGAGACCCTCAAGCCATCTTTCCTATTATCCTAATACAAATCACTTGGCTTATTTTTAATTGTAATATTATCAGTCATGTCCTCTTTTGTCCCAACTTTTCAGGCACTTGCTTGTGGGAAAACTGAAAATACTTTTTAAATGGGCTTTTTGCTCCTGATTCTTATTGTAAATCTGGCTGAAAGTAGCCATGCCAAAGCCTAAATTTTAGGCTGCCTTGAAATTTCCTCTAATAGGTTAGTTAACGTACTTCTGTTAATGTCAGTCTCCCACAAAACCTCAGATCCTGGGCAAAAATGAAGACAACTTTTCCATCCAGGTCTAACACCCATGGCCTCTAGTCCAACTACCAATAGAGTCTTTGTTCCTAACTGGAACCTCCTGAACTTTGCTTTCACTCTTTCCGTTTCTATTCTGGTTCTCTAAGTTCCAATCAGAATCTCCCACCAAGCTTGGGCTACAGTATTTTAGGGCTTCTCTAGCAGGCATCTCCAAACCTTCCCATACTCCTCCTGTGAACCTATTTCAAACACTTCTGAGCTGCATGGTCAGGTAGAGTCACAGCAAGAACTCCACTTCTCTTGTACCAAAGCCTGTCTTAGTTACTTTCTTGTCTCCTGGACAAAATTACGACAACTACAATTTAAGGAGGAGAGGTTTCCTTTGGCTCATGTTTTCAGTATAGAGGCAGTGGGCTCCAGGGCAGACAAAAGATGGCAATAGGGCAACGTGGAAGAAAGGCGTTCAGCCATGGCAGCCAGGAAGGAGAGAAAGAAACAAGAGGCTTGGAATAGTGATATGGCTTTCTAGGTCACACCCCAGTGGCCCACCTCCAACCAGGCCCCAACTCCTAATGGTAAGTCAGCTAAGTCAACTATCAACTGATGACTTAGACATTGTCCAAACATATGAAGATTTGTACAGGGGCATTTTAGATCTAAACCATAGCATTGTTGGGGTCTTGATTGTCCCTGATTCTGAGTGTTGCTTAGAGGAGAGACTTGGTATGGCTCACAGCCTCAGAGAGAAGCCAAGAGAAGAGGAAGTAGGAGAGGAGAGCACAGTGCGGACATGGTCACTGTGGACTCCCATGCCTGCTAGCTTCTGCAGCCTCAATATCCCTGTTGGAGAGGCCAGGTTACCCTGTTTCAGTAACTACCACTCCTGCCCAGAAGGCCACAGTATGGGGTCTGACTGGTCAGAGCTGCCTCTCCACTCCATGTATCAGAATATCTCAGGTAGGAACATCTGGAAACAACCCCCAAGCAGAAGCTCCCAGGAAAACCCTGAAAAACCTCATTTTTAGACTCCATCAATTCTGCCAAAACCCCCCACTTTTACAGAGGTCCCTGGAGATCATCCCTCTCCTGTGTGCCTCCTACACAGCTTCCCAGAAAAGCTAAGTTGCTGGTGGTTTTCTTGACCAAATTTTCATGAGCATCAGAGTGAAGTGGAAGGAGCAGGCCCTTGACACCCAAAGGTGTGGATTCGTTTACCATGATGTCCTCCACAGGCTCAGGTAGGGATAACCATGTCCCATCCCCATCTTCCTGGAGCTTTTCGCCTGCAACATACTGAGGCAGAGCTGTGTCATGCTGCGGTCCCTAGGGGCAGCTGCACATGTGCACAGCATTATTATCAAAGCTGAGAGGTCTTTGCTTTGCACATAGTTACTACACACTTAATACATTTGCTAAAATGCAGGCTCAGACTGCTATTAAAAATTCCATAAAACTGAAGCATTACTAGCAAAATGCAATTTCCTCTTTCTCATAAAAATCTGTGATTTATATCATTCCTTCCTCCCCAGTTGTCTAGGCAGCTAGTTATTGTGGAATACTAACATACAGCAGTAATTAAAACCTCATAAAAAGATGACTATAAAGAAGAGATTGATTCCTCCCAAAGTCCTCCTTCCCAGGGTAGAGGGTAGGCTGGGGGAGCTG